ATTTAATATGTTCTTCATGCATGCTGCATGCCCTGTTCATATTATCCTTGATTAATTTTCAAGTGGTAATTGTGTGGATGAATTGTTAGCACTGCATTTCGGCCTTTTGAGATTGTAATGGGGAAGGAGAACAATGATATCAAATCTAAAAGTTCTTGACGATGGTGAAGAGTCATTTGAATAAAAATTTTTTATATTTTACTAGAGTCCCATCTCCGAAACGTCGTTTTACGTTTTATATTTTATATTTTACTAGACGATGGATAATATCCAAGGAAATTTTTATTCAAAAGAGAACAATGATGTTTGTTCAAATAACGACAAAAGACTCTCATTAATGATTTCTATTTTTCGAACGAAGTACGTAACCCTCAAACATTGTTTGAGTTCCATTACAGCAAATGTAGTTAAAGATGCATCTAACAAAAGGTGTTTAATAAAATATACTACAGGGAACGAACAGGAGCTAACGCGTCCTTGTCTTGAAAAGATACACTTTCAAAATATATTTCAGGCTTCTTGTCATTGTTCTGGAAACACCAGTGCGATAGACTTGCATATTTTAACAGTAAAATTCTTCAGTATGAAAGAGTTGAGCAAGAACTCACATCTGCTAAAACAGTCTTGTTAAAGTCTGTCCTTGTTGCCTTCTTTTTGCGTGTTATATAAACAAACTCAACAACTGTGAAGAAGAGACGCCGACCGGGGACACTTTACCTTTCGTTTGTTCTGAGAGTAAATCGGAGTTTAACTCAGTCTTTTCTCCTACCCACCCTCTCTTTTACGACGTGCCGGAGAATCGCTTCACTCTCACCGTTTACCAGCATAACCCCTTCATCTAACAATACCTGAAATTAGAAATTCTCTTGCAGATTACAACGGATCAGCGGTTTCTTAGAATGGGAAAAGTTTCCCCCCGTGTCTGACTGATTCTTTCTACTCGAAGATAGAAAACGTGCAGTGCATGCTGGATCTTTCTCTCCCCCCCCCCCCCCGGTGTTTTTTTTCGAACCGACGGCTCTTCTACTAATCCGTAATGTAGAGTCACAGCCCCAAGGATTCTTACTAATTGATCGATCAGTTGAATAGGTCCACGAACAGCACTTCTGCTGCTACGAGATTTTTTATGATCAAGTGTAAGGGAGAGAAACATAAGTAAATGGGCGTCTGCCATCGAGAAAAAATGTTTTATAGTTCAGTTGTTACTTTGCATGTTTATTTATTTCAGATGCAAATGTGTAGTTTTAAACGTAATACAGGTATCACGTTGCGGAAAATCATAAATTGTTTTTTCTTGCATTTTGATAGAAATTATCCTTATCGACAGATGTAACAAGTAATATATATAGCCTAGAAATTTTCATAATATCGGTAAATTTAGATTGTCATGTTCTGAGTCAGAAAGTTACTACAGTTAATCCTACTGATGTCGCGAGATTATCAGCAACAATACTTTCTATCTTAGGTAGTTGATAGTTTTGTTGTCAGTCTTCTGAGCGGGTTAGCTGAGCCGAAATTAAAAATGAAAGAAACGTGTGACATGTCAGCCTCTGCAACCCCATGACCTACAAAAATGCAGTCCAAAGTCAGTCGCGTTTTTACGTTCAGGACGTGGGAAGGTTTATCCCCTGCACTTTAAATTTAGAATGTCTGTGAGGGCGTCAGACAGATGTGTTGAGGTGAGTGCTTGGTCCAGAGCTAGAGGAAGTAAAACGGATTATTTGGCAAAATAACTTTATATGAAACTTCATAATCTGTAAGTGATAGTCTGGGTTGTGACGCTGTGTATTACATTAGGTGATTACCAGTGTTTCGGAGGAAAGTATTATCTCCATCTTCACGGGAAGCGATTTACAAGACCACACGGCGCCACAACCAAGAATACAACAATCGACAACTTTATTTTCTAGGGTAACCAGGGCTGTGGAGTCGGAAGCAATTTTGGGTGGAGTCGGTAAAAATGTACCGACTCCGACATCGATATAAAAACCTAACAACTATTTCTATACCGTGTGAGTCGCCGGCTACCTCAAGCTTAGGGAGATTCAACGACGCGTTGAGCCACATGGTGCGGGAATAAGGGTCTATTTATATAGGAACGTAAAGATAACGACACGAGCCCTTGCCGATTTTTCAGAAATTATTATTCAACGTTTTTCAATGGAACTGTTTAGGAAAAATATCGTTGGAGACGTAAGTTGGGCGAGACTCGTTCGTGGAACGGACGAGTTCGGAGTCAATATAAAGTTTACGTTCCTATATAAATAGACCCTTATGCTTTGTAACTTTGGCTACGTTGCCTTAAGAATACAAACTGTTTACAAAACAACCGATTTCTGCAATAACCATTAGACGTATATTTAAA